GAGCTTAGGCCGGATTTTATAATACTTAACTATTCACCTTTTGCCCCACCAGCCCTTGCTTTAATCACAAAGAAAAAAAAATTAACAAAACCTGATGCAACATAGGAGGTGCTCTTCTACTACAGGCATTTCCAGCTCCCTTATTCCTACACAGATGTACCCTCTGAGCAGGGCTCTTGGATAAAACAAGCTCCTCCTCTTAAATAGGCAAATATCTAGGGCTTATGATCTTTTTTAAAATTAAATAGAAGCTCTCAGTCACACTGATAACAGCAACTAGTACTGGGCAAACAGTGTAGAAACCATTTGCAGTCCTTTGTTGAATATAACTCAGAAAGTCACCTGGATGGTATTCACAGCCTTCTGTGTGGATTTTCCATTAACATTTGTACAAGTGAATTTTCATTTCCAAGAACAGACCTAGAAAGCAAGTGGCTATTTTACCCTAATATTTCCCAGTGTTGCTATCTATCGCTGATTCTACTGAGAGCAGTTCTAGATGATGCAGTGGTTAAAATTCTGGTAACTGGTGGTGCCTTGTCTCCACTAGCGCTCATACCAGTGGAGCTGGACTGGTGGGAGGAGTTAGTAAAACAGTAACAGTGTAGATTAGGCCAAGGAGGGCTATTAAAAAGGAACTGATAGCACACACTTGTGTTGTTATGTATTGAGTGCACATGAATATGTTTCAGGTCAAGTAGCTACCTTGTGTCTGTAACTGGGGTTGCTAGTTATAACATCCATGCTATAATGACTGCTGTAATGTGAGTCATTCTTTCCCTGACAATAATATGAGTAAGATACTAGTAGTGTGATGCTGCTGTCACTTAGAATAGAACAAGAAAGTCTGATTACAATGAACTGACTAAAAGGTAAAAAGTGAACTGAGGTTTGCCCTGAGATTCCAGCCACCTGTGTAACTATGCTAAAACAAAACTTTAGTGTACATGGACAAAGCCACTATTTTGCACCAATGGAGCCAAACACTTGATATTGGGGTAAACTACACTGATGTAAATGACAGTTAATACTGGTTTCCCTGTCTAAACTTGGCGTTTGCATTGGTACAGCTACAGCAATAGCTGGCCAGCAATGACTGAAATCAGAGCAAATACCTGGTGAGTAGACAAGGCAGAAAGAAGCAGGAATTTCCTTAACCTGCTTCCTCAAGCATGTGTAACAAAATAAGGTCCCAGTCCAGCAAATACTTAAAGTTAAGCACACATGTAAGCATGCAAGTCATTCCATTGACTTCAATGAGAAGTCAGTGGAATGACGTTCATAGATTCTAGGACTGGAAAGGACCTCGAGAGGTCATAGAGTCCAGTCCCCTGCCCCCAGGGCAGGACCAAATACTGTCTAGACCATCCCTGATAGACATTTATCTAACCTACTCTTAAATATCTCCAGAGATGGAGATTCCACAACCTCCCTAGGCAATTTATTTCAGTGTTTAACCACCCTGACAGTTAGGAACTTTTTCCTAATGTCCAATCTAAATCTCCCCTGCTGCAATTTAGGCCCATTGCTTCTTGTTCTATCCTTAGAGGCTAAGGTGAACAAGTTTTCTCCTTCCTCCTTATGATACCCTTTTAGATACCTGAAAACTGCTATCATGTCCCCTCTCAGTCTTCTCTTTTCCAAACTAAAAGTAAAGCATATGCATAAGTTTCTGCAGGACCATAGCCTAAAATTTTGAAACAATAGCAGGGAGCCCAAATCCTAATATTTCAAGAACAGTAAAGTAAGTTATTGGGTTCTCGAATGGAATAGAATACATACCAATGAGGTCTGTTCTTAAATTGATAAGTGCAATAACAGCAATATATAGGAGAGAAACGTATAAGGCCTTGTCTATATTTAGGCTTAGCTCCGATTCAGCCATCAGAGGCTAGCAATGAGTGTAGCTGCACTGGTACAAATTTCATGGCTAGACAAAGGAAGCCATAGTATGCACAGGTAGCAGTTATCCCTGATTGAAACCAGAGTAAATTCAACTAGTATAAATTGAGGCTTTCTTTGTCATCTCCGGAGTGGCGATGATGCAGGCCTGCAGTGTGTAGGAGGGGATCATGATGTGTAGGAGATGATCATGGTGGTCCCTTCTGACATTAAAGTCTATGAGTCTGAGCTACACCAGCTGTTTGCTGAATACCAAGTAAAAGCAGGGCCTCTGTGCTAAACTATGACCAAAAAAAAAA